ATGGTTTTTCATACATGTCGGCGAGTGTCTGCAAGACCTCCTTCGTGCTTTTTGCTCCCTTCACATGGTAGGCGACGTTCCGAGAGAGCGAAAGAATTATAGCGCTCATCGACTTCCGATCGAGCACCTTCCATTCATCATCGCTCATCTTCTCGAGTTTTTCCCCAAGAGGTGCGTAGAGGTCCTTCCCGTACAGGTAAGCCTCCATTTGCATTCGCCAGAATCCAAAGTCGGAACCATTGAACCGTTCGACTTGAATCTTTCCCTCCATCTTATCTTTAACCTCCTGGCTCTGATACCAGTTGTTGGGAAATAAGGTCGGATAAGATGGAATAATAATAATACACCAATGTGAAATCAATAAAAGACACGAATATTTGTTAACCCAGTTCGGATTAAATCCTACGTCTGGGGGCGAACCAAGCCAGGAGAATGAACTAGAATAAGAGGATAAAACGAATGTTACAACTCACACAAGCCCGTATGAATACACTCTCTCTACTCTTTCTTCACACTTATATGTATTTCTTTTTCACTTGGATTGGATACAAATGAGGTTACAAAATGAGGTATTTATAGCCAAACAAATCCTTCTTGCGAGGAAGTTGAGAGGAAGCTCCCTTCCTTTGACCAGGAAGTTGCAAGGAAGTAGCTTTCCTTTGACCAGGAACTTACGAGGAAGTTCCCTATCTTTTACCAGGAACTTACGAAGAAGTTCTCTTTCTTTGACCGGGAACTTACGAGGAAGTTCCCTTTCTTTGACTAATCTTCACACCTCAACAAAATCACCTACATTGAATTATGAAAATATTAGAAATTATAGTACATGACAAGCAGTTGCCTCGAGCCATATTGAAAAGAGGGTCGGACATTCTACATGTTTTATCCATCTACAAAAACTTTTAGAAGCCAGCTAGAAAGTTCACAAAAGTTTGGAGAAGTACAGCGCTAAAGCAATACACATCACATTCGTACGGGGAGCACATCGGCCACATTGCCGACATGAAGGGGAATCCAAAAGTATATACACTGACAAAAGATTATGGCAGGTTCAACAAGGGCAATCCAAAAGTAGAAAGAACAATGGCAATCCAAAAGTATGTACAATGCTAACGTTGATGGTAGATTGGCCTCCGTGCGTAGCTTCTTAAGTGGGCTGGATGGAGTTGCCGAACCGCTCAGTATCTCCACTTCCGCAAGATACATGCTCACTGGTCCCGTCCCTGAAGGGCTGGAAGATGAAGTGTCTGCGCCATCTCCGAAGTTGAAGGCGCGCGTGGGTGTTTTTTTGGAAGCTGATATGTCTGCACTTATAGTGGTACTCCCAATTTCCTCAAGGCATGCTTTTGGGCTCAGTGTGAACAACTGTGCTCGTGACTCATGCTCGTGACTCGTACTGTGTTAAAAGTTAAAAAAAATAGAATTTTCTGAGGTTTATACACTGAATAGGGCTATACTTCATGTCAGCAACATAAATTGTGAAAGCAACATATACCTGTGCATCGAATTTGTCAACATCATTCTCATCAAAAAGACCATCAATTTCGTCCATGTATAACTTGACCACTGAGTAGTTTGGTCCATTGGTCTGGAACATCTTCAGAAAGTTGATAACATGGTGGTTTAGAATCCTACTGGCTATATCATGTACCAAGGTGTGACCGTGTTAATTTATTTTTTTTAAAAAAAAAAACGCGCGCTTATTTTCAGAGCTAGATAAGTTATAGAAAGTTCTAAGTAGTAACCTTGCCATTTGCAAGTTGTAAACAAATACAGGATGCAAAATTTATAGTCTAAGAAAAAGGATATAAGTAATATTAATGAGCACCTCTTCTTCCGCTCGTCGTAAATTAGCCCCAGTATGTCCAATAAGGTGCTCGGCATCCTCACATAAACAATGGTAGTAAGTGTTTCTGTCTCGTCATCAATGGGGACCTGTGCCCTGTAGTAAAACATGTGTTTTCGATCAGTTTTTTACCTAATAAATATTGTTATTTTTGTTTTTTGGTGCAAGGGAATGAATATTAGCTGGGATAGATTTCGTTGCGCTGGTTGCAAGAGCTGCAGTGTATTTCAGAACCCATAGCAAGATCAAACTTTTTATGACAGTTCATGCAACGATTGGTTAACCGCTTCCAAATTGATGTGCCTTTGAATCCATGAAGCCCGAACCTTTTTTAAGCAAACAGTTTAGGTTAGATGTGTGTTAGTAGTGTTGCATATGAGAGCGACATAAAGATTATTTTCTTATTTATATGCATGTGTGCCAACTTACGATTGATGAAAGCCTGCACAACCATCATGTCGTCGGGATTTGGCCTGGGAAGCAAGACAGTTGGATTTTTGTATGCTTTTGCTATGGTTCTATTTTCAATGCCAATTTGTTTCGTATGTACCTGCGACAAAAGTAGATCAAAATAGTTGGTCGTAGCTAGTTAATGATTTATATAATTTGTAACTTAACTTGTGTAAATCTTACCACAGCTTTAGCTGACCCGTCTCATGTATTGGGGGATTTATGAGAACCGAGGTTGATGCTCTCGTGGATAGTGATAGCCCCGTTAAAAATTTGGATCGTTAGGTTTCATCTTTTTTTTTTTTAATAATTTACAGCAAGAAGGACCAAACAAAGAGAGACAAACACAACATTAAAAGTTATAACTCGAACCCTCATCGCAATGATTACATTTTCTGAATTAATATCATCCGATAACTGCGCACCCTCGGTCGTAGCAAACTCATTCAAAAGAGTCAGAATCATAGGCATGTTCCTATTATTCACTGAGTTTCCTAAGTGCAAATATTTGCATATAACAGAGGCCTTAACCAAAGTGACCATGTTTTATGCCAATAACTACATTTGAAAGGAGCTTACATTCTAGAGAATGGTGCAACATACAATAATGATCCAGGTTATTTGTGGTTTCATAGAAACTTAAATAGATAGTGTAGGAAGCAATGACAAAATGTATTAGAATTGTACGTGAATTAAAAAAAAATGGTTTCAATCATAGATATTAAAGAATCTTCCATTAACCATTTGCAGCACTATGCTGCAATGCTCCATGTAAGAAAATATAGCAGGGCATGTAAACACAGTTGACTACATAAACAGACTTGAGCAGACTTGAGCAAGCAAGAATATGCAGAACATTGTCTAAATGAAGAAATGGCAGATGCCATTAGTGTAAATTAAAAAAAAAATGGTAAATGAAAGCCTAGAAACCTTACTCCGTAAGTTGCGAACCGGTGTAGATTGTCGTATGCTTTCGTGTCAATACGGATAGTTAGTTCCAGTGCGATTCTATCCTCACGTCTCAATGAAGGTGTTGTTGTTGATGGTCCAAGTGTAGTCATATGGGTCGATCCTATATTTCTCAAAAGTAGCGCGAGACAAACGATATTGTTGAACAAAATCAAAAGGCTCGAGTCTGACCTGATATTGTTGTAGGCTATAGCGGCAACTTTTGATCACTGTTGAAAATTACAAAATAGAAATTTTTAAACATGTTGAACAACAAAGTTGATATTTTTTTGTTAGAACGTTTTAAAGTGGGATTAATGTGGTTGTAAGATGAGCCGTAAAATTACCTCTGCATCTGTAAACAGAAGCGTCGGCAAGACACGGATGAGTTTCGCTGGCTGACAAGTATATGACTTTATTCTACAACTTGGATAATGATTGTCCAACCCTTAGTATGTGGCAGCACTTGTTTGACGGGTGTGGTGTCTGTCATGTTCCTCCAATCATTTTAAACAACTGCATATAAGAAAAAAAATTACATAACAATTAACTGACAACTATTACATAAGTTAGATGCTTACTCCTACACCATGACCGGATAGCAAACCATTTCTACTGCACGCATAAATGTTTTACACATACTCACACACCCATGCCGGTCAAAAAAGAATATGAAAAGTATATTGGAAATTAAGTATTCTGGAACATTAATTTTGGAATTGTGATTTTATGTGTATTTAAACTTTAAAGAAAAAAAAAAAGTAATAATGAAAGAGAAGAGGAGTTACAAGTGCAACAGCTTTACAAGTGAGCAATTGGAGAACACATAAAAGGTACAGTGTTAGAAAGTATAATGAACCTAAAAAATCTGCACTCTCAAAGATTAGAGGCCATATAACTAAATAGTAAGGTTGTTTACACCGTCTACCACGCACGCTAGTTGAGTCAAAAAAATAGAAGAAAGTTAAGAAGGTACTCTTAAGAGAAGCATGAATTCAGGGAAATAAGTAAAATTAGATCTTCATTGAGTTACATAAATGGCTAAATTGTAGAAAGCTTCAAACAGTTGGCAGCAAATAGCAAATAACTACAATGAGCCTGTTAGACTGTGCCAAGAAAAAAGTAAGAAAAAAAAAAAAACAGATTAAACGGGATTTGCGAAATTGTTTGTTTGGCTACCTACCTGAGGGTGTTTCTCAAATTGTGGCAAGCCTCACGATCTCTCACATAAGTCGCACAGTTGGTGTTTCCACTTGCACATGTCGGTACAACCACACAATGACATAAAAAGGGACTACAGTGTTGCGCCATGCTTTTCGTACTACTTGTGGTGTGTTAGTTAGACTTCAAATAAAATGCAGATGCAAACAGTGAAACATTAGAACTAAAGAAGCTCGTGGGCTTAACACGTTTGATAAACACATCGAGGTTGAATTCATTTAAAACGAAAAAAATAATAATGTAGTTTTCTATGTATAGGCTTGTTAGGACTTAACATCGATTCATTAATTTGATAAACAAGCTAAGCTAATTTATTTGTTTCAGTTCGGCCCAGCTAGTCTCCATCGTCGCCTCCTAACTCATAATCCACATATGAATGGCAAAATATGTAGTAACTGTTAGTTAATTTAATTATTAATCCTCTACGAAAAGAAGGGAGAAATATTATTGAGCATAAAAAAGGTCCATAAAAGACTTACATAAAGTTTATATTTTTTTACTGAGAAGACAGAGACTTATTATCATCTTCCTTTGGATCACTCAAATGAAAACTACCTCCATTAAGAAAAGCTAAAATATACAGTCGTAGTTGGAAAAAGGAAGAATATTCAAGAATTATTTTGACAACAACTGGAGGACATGAAAGGTTCAAGTTGATTTTGCCTTTTGAAGAAAAAATACTCATACACATACATTGATCTTATAAGCATCAAATCTAAACCAACAGAAGTAGAGAGTAAAAAACTGAAAAACGATACGAAACCCCACCTTAGCAACCTAAATGTTAACAGTTTGATGAATTTCCTTGTACAGCAAAAACTCCCAGCATTTTCCATGCTCTCCAAATTCTCCTGTACTAAATTCTCCGGGCAGCAAGCCTTAATTGCAATGACGATGATGATAACGGTATTTAGTCAACTATATGAAATATTGCAATATGCAAAACCAAGCGGCATAATTATGGAATGTGAAATTACTGAAAAAAAAAATTGTTGATATCCATTGGTAAAAGGAAGCAGCAAGGTTTCATCATTCGCATACATTAAAACCAACAATAATAAAGCTTTGACAAGCAAAGTACTCACAAAACGCCATCCAAATACTATCTCCATGGCCAAAAGAGTTGAGACATTCTGGTATAACTTTAAAACCGAGGTATTTTCAGAATCTAAGGTCCGACCATCTCTCTGTCCATGTGCTACATAGCAAAAGTACACGCACAAACATGTATTAAGTAGCTGGTAAACAAAACAAGAACACTCGTGTCAATCCAATAAAAAACATACCCGAGATCGCAAAGCCGCGTGAACTGCATCTTCAAACCGCACATGGTGCTACATAAACAATGAACACATATACATGTAAAAGAACAAGCAATACATGGACAAAAATGTTACCCCAAAACCCCTCTTCACCCCCACCCAAAAAGTACAAACTTGTAGCGCCCGCCGAGCCAGAATTTCCCACAAAAGAAGAAGCAACAGAACCTAAACTCAAGTGAGCAAGAAATTGACAAAGTGAGTAAATAAGACGCGCGCAAGTCTTGGTCCAATTTGTGGAAAAAAAAAATTGAAACAAAAGTTTTCCGTTTTCTTTAACACGCAACCGCATTGAGGATCTAGCGTGGTAGGACAAAATCAAGGCTTTACCGTCCACTAATTGAACTCGAAGTTGGAGTCACTGTATCATTGAGGATTGTGCCGCCACCTTACTAATCGTCAATCATCGCTCACCCGTCCCACTTGTCGTGCCTCCGCCTCACCGCTTGTCGCACGCATTCGCTCGTCTTTCACCGTATGTCGTTGCATCACCATGTCTTTCACCGCTCGTCGGTTCTGCTTGCTGTGCTAGCGCCCCGACGCCGCCGGTGTTTTTTTAATTTTGCCGACAAGAGTTGAGAAATAGAGAGAGATAGAGGTTATATTCTGTAACTCGGAAAAAAAAAGGTAAAAGAAAGCACAATAACGGCGGAAAGAAGAAAACGTAACAAAGAAGAACAGATTTTCGGGAAAGAAGAAAAAGTAAAAGAAAGTTTGAAGCAGATTTTCTGCGCGATCTCCGATGAAAAGAAATATGCTGAAAGCCTGAAATGAAGGAACACGCAAAAAAGAATGGTGACGGGTTGGGTTTGGTGGGAGAAGAAAGGAGAATGATGG